GTAGCTTAATTACAAACAAAATACAGTTTTTTTTTCATGGCTACATAAACTGTCCGGTTTAAGGTGAAAAAACTGTTTAATTTCTGCACATTTTTTTAAACTCTATCTAACTCTATAGTTACAGAAGTTGATTCACATACTTTACGGGTGCTTTAAACTTTGATGCTTGTAATGTGACTTACATGTGATTTAACACTGTGTTAAAAATTTCACGTAACTGTATTTAATTACTGTTATCCTCTATAACGGTTCTGTTTTGTTTTTAATTATGCACAAAGCTACACAAAGGCTATCTGTGCTCTGCCCACCACGGGTATCGAAACCCAGATTTTAGCGTTGTAAGTCCGCAGACATACCGCTGTGCCACTGGGGGTTTAGAACGGTTCTCAAAATTAAATTATAGATTCGCTTTCATCTCACTTATTCATTTTCATTACACTGTTACACATGTATACAGTACTGTGTATATATTAAGCATCACATCATCAGCTAGTTTAAATTCAAAACATGACGAATTCCTCTTAGAGCAGGTATTTTAGAACTTCATAGCGTCTGAATGCAAAACAAATGCATATCAAGCAAATTTAGAGATTATTTCTTTAAATATCTTGTTTGGCCACCTTTAGCTGAAATCACTTCCTGAATCCGATTAGGAATGCTTTCTTCACACTTTTGGAGATGTTCAATGATAATTTAATTCTAGGCTTAGAGGTCTTCCTTTCATTTCGGCTGCCTTTGATGTCTTTCCAGGTCAAGATAGTCCAACACACACTCAACAGTACTGATATCTTGGCTCTGCAGAGGCCACGCTAAGCACGCAAGATTTCCATCTACTTCCTTTCTATTAAGATACTGCTTTAACTTAATGTGTTTAATGTAATCTTGGAATGGTTATCATGCTGGAAAATGAAATTTCACCCCATTAAACGACATCCAGAAGAAATAACACGGTGAATGGGTATTTATTTATATTGGACAAAAACCAGGACTTCCATCAATACATAAAGATCCCCATCTTGTGGGTAAACAGCCTCATACTTGGATGCTACCTCCAGCATGATTGTGACTGAAAGCTGCAGACAATTTCTTTCTACTCCTGAACGTTACTGACATCTATTGGTTACAAAAATATCAATTTTTGACTCACTAGATTAAAATACGTAGGTTGTCCAAAAAAATTACATTATCTAATATGTGACTTGCAGAAATCTTAGTTTTATAGAAAGTTAGATTTATTATAGACAAGTCTATATAAGTTAACGATTTCTCAACATTTAAAGTCACTTAGCATTTAATTTATCTGTTAGTAATAATACATTTGCTTTTATAAACAAGAATTGCTATTACATATTACTGTAATATATATATTATCTTTTTATATGTAAATTAATAGCACCTTTTTGATGTTATAGGGATCTACACCATTGTAAGCAGATAAACAAAACTCTTAAAAACAAACTGACGTTTTTAATTTTAAAAAAAATTGCAATTTCTGTTAGCAAAAAGTAATCTAGGTAATCTACATTATTATCTACGTTCTATTTTCAATAGTGTAAGATAAATTGTTTGATTATTTAAGAAAATTAAATTATTTATTTATATAACGAAAGGTATAAATATTTTGGGAGTTATTTACAAAGTCAAACACGAACAGAAATATAATTTGGTAACGTTCGGTGTATAGTTCGCTGCTATTGTAATTTTGTTTTTGTTGCTTTTAATTAACCTCCTCGTTAAAAAAATAAACTTATTGTAAGTATAGTAAATAAATAAATAAGCTTTTACACTGTTCTTCTATGTAAAGTAATTTGGATATAATAGTAGTTTCTTGTTTGTTTTTTGAATTTCGCGCAAAGCTACACGAGGGTTATCTGCCTTAGCCGTCCCTAATTTAGCAGTATAAGACTAGAGGGAAGGCAGCTAGTCATCACCACCCCCCGCCAACTATTGGGCTACTTTTTTACCAACACCGCCAACTATTGGGATTGACCGTCACATTATAACACCCCCACGGCTGAAAGGGCGAGCATGTTCGGTGTGACGGGGATTCGAACCCGCAACCCTCAGATTGGGAGTCGAGTGCCTTAACCACCTGGCCATGTCGAGCCAGTGGTTTCTTCCAGAAATTGGTCAATTAACGTATTAAATATTCTTAATAAGTTATTTAGAGCTATTTATGTTAATCGAGTGGTAAAATAAAAAGTAAGGAAATAAATAGGTAACACAATTATTTAAGAATTTAAATGACATAAAACAGGAGCATTAGTTTTAATAATAATATAAAATATATTATTAAGTAAACTTTCTGCATAAGGTTTATATTTAAAAATCAGCATATAAAGAATTGTATTCAGAATGATAGCAGCTAACTGTTTATATTAAAATGATGGTGAATCTAAATATAGTAGGATTTTTTGTTTAGTTTATACAGAACATAAATGATTAAAGAAATTGGTAACAACTAGGGGATTTCGTTATTTCCCGAGATTTAGAAAAAATATTAATCTCGGTAACCTATTTTCACAGTATTTTAAGCAAAAGCAATATTTTTCATGGACATCTTATGAATCGTAAGAATGAACTGTTTGTACATCTATATACAACAAATATATCCCACAAAAAGTTAAACAACCTGCAAAAAACATTATAGTTCTAAGACAGTAACAAAGTCCAAATCTTCAAAATGAACGTACAAACTATGTTGCTGTTTCTTAAAACTTTTCAATCATTCTTTAAAAATTTTGTTTTGTTGAATTTAACGGTTTTTAATATTTGTAATACAGATATCTATTAAGAACACTTACTAAGGATATGTTAGAGGTACTTACTATACAAATAAACCTGGGTTGTTCAAAATGTGTGTGACTTGTCCGATAAAGTAAGTTTAATATGTTTATATAATTAATTAAGAAAATCTTCTCGTAGTAATTGCTCAAAAATCTTTGTCCAACAGCTCTTCTGATAAACAAAATGTCGTTTCGCATGGCCTACGGTTATTGTAAGCGCTCTGAAGAATTACAGTTCGAATGTCAAACATGCTGTTACTACTTTGTTGTTATCATAATTAAAGCTTTGGTTGGTCCTGCTGCGTGGATTTTTGGGACTCTTCTAGATGGAAGGTAAGTTTCAAAACTGAACTAATTTAGTATTTTTGAACATACAAGTTTGGTTATAAGCGCGAGAAATTGAACCATGGATGTTAGCACCGTAAGTCTTCAAACCTATCGCTGACCCCCCCCCCCTCGGGGGATTATGGATCACACGGTTCAGTTTAAAAAATATATATTTTAATCCCTTAATCTATTGAAAATGCTACTCCTATAAGATGATACTAAAAATTCTAAGACAAATACCTATATGTCTCTGGTGGCTCAGCAGTAAGTCAGAGAACTTATAGAGCTAACAATAGAGTTTCACATCAACCAAGTATATAGCGAAAAATATTATTGCTTTATCACAAAGATGATATTTAAAATCAATTGTAAGATTTTCTCTGAGCCATGCAAGTTACAGATATTAATGCAATAGTTATAACTATAAATTAGAACGTCCATTTCAAAATGAAATCTAAACTGAACACAAGCTACTTTCCAAGACACATATAAATCACCAGTAGTTCATTGAATCGGAGATTTTGTCTGTGTGTTGAATTAAGTTGCAATCTATGAATTAAACACCAGCCGTGTTTTACTTTCAGATGTTGGCAGAGGTGAAATAGTGTTTGAAAATATTTTAAATAAGAAAAAACAACTTAATGCAACGTTGGTCTAAAGTTCTATTTTCTAAAATTCTGTAATTTAAAATTTATGTTATATTTTCACCAACATGGCTGCTCCTCTAGAACATTTTCAATTTTAAGATTTTTCTGTATTCATTATTACCTGCTTCGTGAAAAAATATCCACCAGAGGGAGTTTAACAAAAATTTTACTTAAATGTATATAAATGTTAGCTTGATGGGCTGCGGATATATTAATTTTCAGCTGTGTAAATTATATGTAAGGGACAATAAATTCCTCCTAATTGGTTAAGAGTAGCTTTGTAGCCTTTTTGCCTATGTGTTACATAGGGTGTCGTTCAGGTAAAAAATAAAACTAATACTCGTATTTTGTTTTTCAGATACTACCCGTGCATAAGGTTAGAACAACCTTGTAACAGAACCAGTGAAGAATTTAAGGAGTATCGAGGTCATTCTCAGTTTCTTGCCATTGTAATGCTGTGTGTAACGGTGGCCGTTATCTATTGCGGTAAGTTTTAATAACCTAGTGAATACATGATAGTTATTTCTTTAATATGTCGTTTTAGCAGCGTCAGTCTGCGAGTCATGGACACTCGGATTCACAGTCAGGACCTCATAGTTGCCAGCAGCGAATTGAATATGAATTTATTCCACTTAACACATTTTGATCATTATTCATCAGGTCCCCCGCTTGGACAGCTGTAAGTCTCCGGATTTACAGTCAGGACCTCACAGTTGCCAGCAGCGAATTGAATATGAATTTATTACACTTAACACATATTTTGATCATTATTCATCAGGTCCCCCGCTTGGACAGCTGTAAGTCAGGTGTTCGATTCCCCTCGGTGGACATAGCAGATAGCTCGATGTGGCTTTGCTATAAGAAAAACACTCACTATTCATCAGAAACTGGTGTCAAAGACCTTTTTATTATTTGTTTTAGTGCAAAGCTACTTAGCGGATTTTCTGTGTTATGCGGACCGATGGGATTGAACCCCAAAGTTTTACGTTTTAAGCCCTTAAACGTACCGTTCAACCACCGTGAGACTTTAATGTAACGGTCCTAAAGATCACGATTTTTTTTGAGAAATTAACTAATTTACTTTCTGTGAGTTATAGGCTTGATGATCATGACATGTTTGTAACTTTGCCATTTTTTTATTTTTTTTTTACCTTTAGTGGCAAATGTAATGAATAAAATCCATTTCTCAGGACCTAGAGTGATAATCAGGGCCACATAATTGTTATGTTCTCTTTTTTTAAAGAACTAATTGTAGTTCACTTGCATCATTTTATAAACTGATGATCATTATATATTTGACAGCATCAAGTTTCGTGTATTCTTTAAATCGCATTTCATAGATGGCGCTACTAATTTTCTGTTTGTCAAAAATGGATTCTTAAACATTTACTTCATTCTTCAAGAATAACGTCGGAGCCTTTATCTTAGACTTAATTTTAAATTAATTATTTTTGTTGAACGACCAGAATGACCACCATATACATGATATTTCAAAAGCTCTTCCCATGTTCATAAGACTATGGTGTCTTCTACATGGTCAAATCTGTCTACACACCAAGTTTCGCAATATTGTGTCCATTGGTTTCCTGAACACAGTACGAACAGTAGAAGTGTCTTTTTAAACAGACAGTATCTTATGTTGATTGACAATTAATACTTTTTACAATACAAGCATAACACCATCTCCAATTAACTAGACACTAAATGATAATTTTATTCTTAACAATACACGGATGTTATTTATTTTATTTTAACAATACAAGAATGTTATTTATTAAATTTCAACAATACAAGAATTTTATTTATTTTATCTTAACAATACAAGGATGTTATTTATTTTATCTAATAATATAAGAATTATATTTATTTTATTTTAACAATAAAATAATGTTATTTATTTTATTTCAACAATACAAGAATGTTATTTATTTTATCTTAACAATACAAGGATGTTATTTATTTTATCTAACAATATAACAATTATATTTATTTTATTTTAAGAATAAAATAATGTTATTTATTTTAACAATAAAAGGATGTTACTCATTCTCTGTTTATTGGGAAGTATATTTTATACATTTATTTCATGTTCCAGTATTCATGTGCCGTGCTTGTTGCTGTGGGTACAGTTATAACTACAGACGACTCATGGAAATATATCAAGAAGCTGAAGAAACAGCTTTTGAGGATAAATTGAATGTAAGAGCTATTATCTTACTTCTAATTTTAATTGCTCCCAAAGTTCTCAAAGTAGAAAAATCTCAGAAAAGAACCTTCGAAATTATTGCGTATATTGTTTAAAATTTCTGCACAAAGCTTCACAAAGACTATTTACACAAATTCGCTAGTAATTTTTAAATAATAGACTAGAAGTAACTCTCCAGATAATAATAAATAAGACTTTTTATTTCAGCCAACGTTTCACCGTTGCGGCTTCATCAGGGCTGGTAGTAGTTTGATATGAAAATATACGTTAACTCGAGACTTTCGTAACGTGTTTATAGAAATGTTTACAATATTATTTTCGTTTTTACAATTGTTCTAATATTATAGTGTACCTATGATACTAATTATATTACTGTACAACCATTTGGCATATATTACTTATGCGAAGTATAGAATTAATGACAGTTTCAAAATGATTTATGTTTTGCCAAAAAATAAATGAAAATTAAGGCAGTTGAGAAATAAAATGTTGAATTGGAAGGATGTAAAATTGACGAACAATGTTAAAATAAAAAACTGTAGTTACGTACTTCATTATTGAGAATGCAAATATATAGTATGGTCTGTGGAATATTAATAGCGAAGAGTGGTGTAGGTACACTAGCGCACGCGAGTGTTGATCTAATTGTTATAATATTAAGGATGTTGAGTATGATGAGCGTGTGTTCGAATAGGTGTTTAGTTACTTGTACCATCCTTTGTTTCTGTTTATTTTTGGATATTCTCGTTAATGAGTATAGTTTCCATACATTTTCTCCCTTCAAAATCGTTGTTTATTTTTGTGAGATAAAAACTGTAAATAGGTTTTGGTTATCTACGTTTAGGGTTCTGTATTTATGTAGGAAGTATTCTGCTGGAGTGGTTTTGTATTACTCGTGTTTATATAAGCCATTAATATAAATCGGGTTTCGATACTCGTGGTAGGCAGAGCTCAGATAGCCCATTGTGTAGCATTGTGCTTAACTTCAAACAACAACTTGTTTGGATCTTTGTCTATAAGTACATGGGTAGATGTGTCTTGAAGATGTTATCCTATTTTATATTTGTAACTGTTTTTGGTTAAGACTACGAAATCTTCCCCTTTGTCAGATTCTTTTATGATAAGATTATCACTTGTTCGGAGTTCTTTTATAGCGGCTTTTTATGCTGGTGGGATGTTGTTTTTTTCTTAATGGTTTTTATGTGTAGCCAGGATATAGAAAGGAATATCTAATACTTCTTTGAGTCAAATGGGTAATAGCTGAATGATTGCTAATTCTCGTTATCTTTCTGGTCATCTGTATCTTCTATGGGATCTTGTTTAGTAAGGGAACGGCAAACATCCTACAAAGTATCTTCGAAGATTTTACCCGTATCTTCTTTAGTTTCATGATGTTCTTTCCAGCAGACACTGTATATGCTTTTTTTGAGTGATGTTAAAATTTTTAGGCGGGTGTTATCTGTTCGTTTTCTACTTACAGCAAAATATAAGCCTTTCGCTAGAACTGACATAGCTGAAGGTTTATGACGTTTTCTCTAGTAAATTCTTGGCGGGCTATTGAAGTGCCTTTTCGTAATTATGCAACATTACTGTTGTTCTTTAGTTGGTGCAAGTAAAGTTGATAGCTTACTTTTACGACGCATGTGACGTGCGCTTGCTTCTTCAATCTATATCGGGGATGGCGAACCATTGGCACGCGTGCCAATTGTGTCACGCGAAGGGAAATTGTTCGGTATGTCAAATGTTTTTGATAAAAATCTTTTTTTGATGAATTTTCATGTAAAAATCTAATTTCAAATAATTAGTTAAAATACAACAAAAGTTTTTGGCTGGAAGTTTTCTGATTTTTTTTTTTTCGTGCGTCTTGGCCCTATAAAGGTTCGCCATCCCTGATCTACATCTTTGACTAAGATGACAATATGAGATAATCTCTATGATGAAATAATAATAATAATGACAATATAATTAGAAATACTACTATGTAAAGTTATCATTATAGAAAAATACTAAACATTATATATAAATTTCAATAAATGTAAGTATATATATATTACATATTCTCACCAACACTGTTCGCTCGTACATTATATATAAACTCCAATAAATATAAGTATATATATATTACATATTCTCACCAACACTGTTTATTCGTACTGTGGTAAAAATTTCACTTGTTTGAGGTGATTTCCAAGAACTACCATATCAAGGTAAAAGTTATACTTGGCTAGGCCAGCTTAATACTTTTACATTAATTCTAAACCCATAAACTAAGCTAGCAATGTGAAATAAATTATTTGATAATAATAACTTCCAGGAAACAGCAAAACAGAAAGCTGAGAGAAATGTCAATTCATTCCTGAATGAGCATCCAACGAAGAGAGACTGGGAAATGATAGCTAGAGCTCCTCCTCTCAATTGCACTTTATCAGAAGCAGCCAATGAACCATTATCACACCTTGACAACCTGATTAAACAGAAATATGAAGCTCGTCGATAGATCTGAATGATCAATATGAATGGGAACAAAGTATACAATGATCATTTTGTTACTGAAATACGTTTATTTGAATTTTTTTTTCTAACTGTATCTTTTCTGCCAGTTTCTAGAAGAAGATAACTTGTACTTTATGTTAGAGGTATCTTAACTCTGTTTTGCTGTAGATATATTTCTTTTTTCCTGAAACTTTATTTGTGGATGAATCTAAAGTTTTGTAATAACGATGACTCGTGGCTTTAATGTAAATTTGTACTTTACATTAAATAAACTAGATTGTAATTTTTCATGGACTGAAATTTTTTGATTCAATTTCCTCTCATTGGTAAATTTCATTTCAGCATCAGAACCATAGCGTTATACCTTCAATAGTTTCATGTAATGAACAAATTTATAAGAATTGAAGCACCTATCGTTTTAGCAACTGTAGATTTGTTTGCGTTGTAAAAAAGAATCATTGGAAATATATTTTTTTTTTGCTATAAAACTATTTATAATACTGTTTTTGTTTTATACGAGATGATGTTACGAAATTATATTTGGTGTTTTCAATATTGTACAATACCTCAGTTAAGCGATCAGATCAGAAACTCCTAAAGCTCAGAACAACCGTCCCTAATTTACAACTGCTGACTAGCGAGAGAGATAAGCCAATTAGCAACATTCGCCACCTATATGGCTACCCTTACATGAATTGACTGTCACTTTTTAACACACCCACAGCTCTAACCACAGGTAGCCATTGTGTAGATTTGTGCTTAACTACAAACAAAGAAACCCCTAAATATATTTGATAAATAATAAAATTTAGAAAAATATATATAGTATTAACACATAAGATCAACAGTTATATTTTGTGCACTTGCGCTTAAGATCTAGGTGATGAATCCTCAGTTAAAACCGATTACAATCTGGACTAAACATCCAATCAATTGAATAAATCAACATATAGCTCAGTTGCTTGTTCATTAGCCAGCCAATTAGACTCAAACGACTGCGTTAACCTGGAAGATTAAAACCATATGTACATATATATTTCTAATCTTGAATGAATTAAAATAATTTTAACCAATAATTGATAAACTAAAAATACAATATTAATATATTATGAATATAAATTTTCCCTCATATGTGTCCGAGGATCTCATTAAATCAGCAATATAAAATTACTCTTTGTTATTTAAAATGTTTCTAAAGTATACACGTAAATTAAAATATTCCCTCTGTTTATCATATTAAATAAATGTTAATATATATATATATACTTTTTTATGAAACAAAAATAACACAGCAATGGTATTGGAGTTTTGACAGAAAAGTTGTCATACCGTTAATACATAGTCAAAGAAATGTCATATTTAGTCTCTCAATGGGTCAACGACAACTTACAACGCTGAAATCCGGGGTTCGAATCCCGCAGTGGACTGAGTGCAGATAGCCCATTGTCAAGCTCTGCACTGAGGAAACACCAACACCGTCACATTTATTTAAGGAACAAAGATGGCTTCATAGTAGGTATTGTTAATTCAACGTTAAATTCGCACATAATTATATTGTAAAAAGTGGTTACTGGTGTCATGTGTAACATGAAATGTTGAAAAAACATTATTTTGAATTGGTAGAAGTTAGGTCACTTAAAATAATCTGTGAAACCATAATAATCATGTTCAAGTTGAAGTCCAGCAATAGCATAGGGTCATACTGTCATGATAAATTCAAAATGTGTTCCAGCAAACTTATTGGGCATTTCCTTGTGTTTTTGTTAAAAATTAGTATCAGTGTTGGCAGTAGTTCCATCTAGTGAGTTCGTGTTTTTGAAATAAATTTGGACTGTTGATTTTCGTGCTTGTGACTTGGAGTTCACTAATCTTTTTATTTTTGTATATTTTAGTTTTGGAACTGATTCATATATTAAATCAACTAAATTAATTCGTTCAACACCGACTACAAATAAAGTTTGACTTTTAGGATATTAGAAAAAATATGTTTTTTTGGTATTACCCTGTTTTTAATCAATATTATAATACTTGATTTTCCACCTGATGAATCAGTTGCAAATACGTATAAATACAGATATATAAACAATGAATTCAACATTTTCTTGATTAAGTAAAGGTTTACTAAACTTTGCCAGTAACAATAGATGTTGCCAAATATTCGTGGGAGAAAGGTGCATTCAGCAAACTAACAATGATCTTCGTGTGTTCGATCTAGCTATTGTTATTACATCAACACATTGGAACAGGAAATGTTCATTCTTGCAAACTTCCTAACACACAAAACATACGTATAAATAAACATCAGTGTACTAATATCCTAAAACACGTTTAGTCCAACACTGTACAAACATAACAGTAAACAAACAAAACTAAATGACAACTCCTTTTTCAGTGTGCTCGTACTTTTAATATACCACTATTAAATGTATGTACTGGTTTGAAAGCCAAAACATAATTATTAATATTTTGGCCAGATCGCAGTTGTTGCACGATAATTGTTAAGACACTGTACAAGTGACCTTTTAGTTTCTAATTATGACTGACATTCTCATTAGTTAGGATAAAATCAAGAACAATGTGTTTTAATCTTGCAAACATTAGAACAGGCTAATGTGTTATTTACAATAAGAAGCACTGAGCATAGCTACGCTACTAGAAGTATTGTATGAAAATATCGTTAACAGCGAGGGTGTGCAACTGATGAAACAATGCAATCTAATCTGTATAAGTAAGAACGTAAAAAAATATATTTAATTCATCGTATTCATCAACTGTTTGCTTTTTAGTAGGCAGCTTGCTCTGCTCGAAAGTTAACGTTAATTTGCAGCTGATGGACGTTCTATTAATTTTATAGATGAACTGCCAACAGCGTTAGCTTCTGGCAGTTTTATTGATTTCAGATGGGCCAGATTTACATTAATAACCTCCTTAGCTGTTGTTTGCATTTCTTGGAAAAACCCTAAAAAATACATTTCATTATGAAATGAATAAAGCGAAAGAGAATAATATTTGAGTTTCAAGAATTAACTTCGTATACCACCACGAACATTACAGTCTTACAATATATATATATGGCTATTCGTATACCACCACGAACATTACAGTCTTACAATATATATATATGGCTATTCGTATACCACCACGAACATTACAGTCTTACAATATATATATATGGCTATAGTACACATTTCAAAATAACTGATAAAGCAAATATGTTATACTATTTGCTAAAGAAGGAAGTTTTAATAATCTAGCCAGGCAACAGTTCATGTTATCTATGCACGTACCTTGTTTAGTTTTCTTTCTAGCTCTTTACAGATAGATCATGATAGTTATCAGTCTTTGCAGTTCATTTAGAAACATCCCTTTGTTACTTTGTGTTACTTGTATATATATATATTTATATGGATATATATATAAAGATTCAGATTTAATTCCTTTTCGAATCGGCCCGGCATGGCCAGATGGTTAGGGCGCTCGAGTCGCAATCTGAGAGTCGCGGATTCGCATCCCCGTCCCACCAAACATGCTCGCCCTTTCAGCCATGGGGACGTTATAAAGTTACGGTCAATCCCATTATTCATTGGTAAAGTAGTAGCCCAAGAGTTGGCGAAACTCAAAAACAAACAAACCTTTTCGAATCATTACTCTTCAAGTATACATAGTTTGCATTTAGATTGAGCTTTGTTCATAAATAATTTAACTGAAGGGTATTCCCCTTTTTAAAATATCTCACGTACGAAATATTTATAGATTTAAAACACCTTATATCACCAACTTCCTAATAGATATGACTCAATCCTTTCAAACAACTTGTTTTAGCACAAAGCTACATAAGGGGTTTTCTGTATTCTGTCCACAGCGGGGAAATGAACCCCGAATGTTAGCGTTGTAAATCTGTAAGCTAACCGCTTACCCACCTGGGAGCTTCAAATAACTAGTGTTTAGACGCTAACAACACTGAGGCAAGTTATGATTATGTGTGTGTGTGTTTAGGAAGACCTACTAAAGTTCTGAAGCAAATTATAACACCCTATTCAACAACGTGGTGTCATTTAAACGCATTATATGAGGCAAGACTTGTGTTGTGAACACTTAGCAATTACATGCCAGAAGAAAGGGCAGGGACTATATGGTTACGTACAAATTCTTATTAAAAACATGATTTCTTAGACATTTAAACACGCCCATTTAAGAGCTTATGTATACATATTATGTCGAATATCAAAACTTAAAATAACGTTTAAAGATTCACATGTAGTTTATAGAACTTGACTAATAAATATCTGGCCAATCAGATTTTTGAAAATGAGGATTCTTCTGTAGGTCAGTAAAATTTAGTATTTTTTTCCGTTCGCCTTTTGTTGTTTAATATACTTCTATGACAGTATGACAGGTTCAGAAATCATATACATTGATGATTGAAAACGTCTAATCGAAAATTAGGGCAGTCTTATAGCATTGAATGTTGCTAAAAAAAATAGCTTAAAGTTTAATAATCCTAATAAATAATAGAACTTACATTAAGTAGTGTTATAAATATTAGATAATCTGTTGCTCTGGGTGGGATGTATTATTTCGTAAAAACCGCATAATTTACGTAACTTCTTCAAATCTTGCACAACTATTCGATAATAAAAAAGATATCGATTTTGCTCACCGATTTAGAATCACAGGCTACAACACTTCGGGGAGGGCGTTTTCAGTGTTCTCCGTGAAAACAGTTCGTTTAAGAAAGGGGCGATTCCCCAAACCATACCCCAAGCCAATCGCTACCAATGTCTTCATCCAAAAATTGGAAGCCGCGGTAACAAAAGAGAATGCCATAACTTAAAAAAGCCATTTGAATAAGGTTGGATTTAGTCCTGTACGGTAAACAAGATTATAAACAACAGTTTAAAGATGACCAATGTTCACAAGCAAAAAAGTTCACAATCTTTCAGTCACGCCTCGAAATCGACGACTGTTTTCATGCGTTGGCAAAAAAATACAACAAAAAAAAACCGGAATAACTGAAATCCCATTGGATTCTCCAAGTGCAAATCCCAAGTAGTTTTGTGCCTGGCATAGACTCTAGATATTAACTTAGATAATGGAAAGCTCATAAGACGATCCCACTGGCTGTTCTCCGAAGATCTCACGAAAATCGTAGTTCCAGGGCCATTGTTAAGAAGATGGAGAATAATGGGATAGAGCGTAATCGCTGGGGAAAATGGCCTTCAGTATTAATATGTTGAAATTAATAATAATTTCCATACAAGGTAGATGACCTTCTATTTTTACTTAATTAGTTC